GGCTAGGCAGGGCCCTCCGAGTAACACTACTTGCCCTGGCTTCAGGACAATGGAGGGTGTGCCTGTGTGTCAACAACCAGGCCCACTCATTGGACCTTGTGAGAGTACAGGAAAGCCCAGTAGCCAAGTCCCAGAGTCAGGGGAGGGCCCAGAGGCCCAGCACTACAGTCAACTGATTCTTTCCTGAAGCTCCATAGGTGCTCCCTGAGTATGCCCAGAGGAGTCATGCTCCAAAGACCCCAGGATGGCAGCAGCCGTCTTTGGACATATGCACCTTTATCTTAGAGGACCCCACACTGCACAGGATATTAGTGCTGCTGTGGGCGAATCTTCCTCCCAGAGCACTTGTGGCATCCCCTGAGGTGGACAGAGGGACTGCCAGCTCAGACCCCTTCCCATGGCCCTCCCCATTCTGCTGGGATCTTTTCGGTGTCCCCTCAGCCATCATGGTCCACCTTACAAGTACCTTGTGCCTAGTGTCCCAGCCATCTGCCTATTCATGCTCAGAGACACTGTAGCAGCCCCTGCCCCTGCTCTGCTCTGTATTGGAGAGGCACAGCCTCCACACAGTACGTCTTCCAGTGTTTCTTGCAACTGACCTCCTGTTAGGTTTGACTGCTGGATGCACTGGTGGGAGGCTGAGGGCAAGATCAAGGGAGAACCAGGGTGCTCTTCCTGCCTCTCTGCCTTGAAGCTGTGGCTGTGGTCCCTGGGCTTTGGTAGGCCCAGCCTTTCCCCCACCCCACTCTCTGGTGGCTTCCCACTGTTCTCATCTCTGAGTTCCTGCACTGTCCCCATCTGGCCATTCAGCTGCTCTAACACCTTTGACTCCTTTCCTTTCCTCTGTTGAACTCCCTGGTTTCAGCTCCATTTTCCTGATTATACCACTTTATTCCTCCATTTTTATCTTCCAAGAGAACAGGGGACACAGCAACAGGGGAGGTTCCGCCAAGCCTAGAGCCAGAAATGACTGGCCATTAGGACCATGGCTCTGTAGTGGCCCTGGACAACTCCTCTGAACCTCAGTTTTCTTTCCTGGAAAATGGAGTTCATAACAATCATGGGGATCGTGTGTTGTTCTGTTATCTTCCTGGGTCCTGGGGTGAGTGGAAGAGTCTCAAGACGGGGAAAAACAGGAGAGCCTTCCACTGCAGAGCCAGGGCAGCCCAGGACCCTGTGCCAGGCCCAGGCAGGAAAGGGCCTTGGGACTTGGCTCCTGCTGGGGGGGTATGTGAGGTCAGACATTCCTGGGATGTTGATGATAATACCTTCCCCAAGAACTAGAATTCCTGAGTCGCCTCTGTCACTAGGAGCAGGAATCTGGTCCGAGTGCTGAGAGGAGCATGAGATGCTTGGTTCTGAGCTGACCTGCTTCCCGCCAGGAGGCCCAGCAGGCTGCTGCTCTGGGAGGTGCAGATCCTTCTCCCCCAACCCACTCCCCACCTGCCATCCTGGTCCCCCGGTACCACACCCATCCCCTTATAGTCCTAGATTCTCCCTGAGCTAAGAGGACTTCAGGCAGCATCTAAGGTGAAGAGCAGTCTGCCTAGGGGAGGGAGTGAGGGGCTGGCCTCATGCACAAGTGGCCTCACCTGGGCAGGCTGCAGACATAGCTGCCTGGTGAGTGGCAGGCCATCGGCTGCAGCAGCTCCGACACTGTGCACTCCTGTGCTGCCCGGGTGAGGTGCTCTCTGGGTTCTGCTTTCCTCCACTCTTCCACTGGTGCAATGATGGTACCCTCCTCTTAGGCCTGTCGGGATGTCAGAGACGGTAGACACAGAGTGCCGAACAAGCATGGGTGCTAGACAATGAGTTGTGTGGCCTCAGGATGGTTACCCCCACCACTGACACCAGTTCAACCAGTCCTTCCATGATCCCTAGGTTTGTGAGGACAGGAACCCAAGGTCTCTGGAAGCAAAAATCCTGGCATGGAAATGAGCCCCAGAGCCCAAAGTACCTGTGGCTGGATAGAAACAGGAGGGGCATGTCCTCCTTTGGGGTGTGCCTTAGCTAGCTGGTGGGGGGTGAGAAGGAAACACTATCTTTTTGTCTGCAGTCTCTGCATCCCAGTGCCCACCCGGGGCCTCTTCACTAATCACCAGGCTCCACTATGAGACACACTGGCCCTGGCCCTGCAGTACTGAGGCACCATTGGTCAGCCATGCCCTCCACCCCTCCAGGTCTTCAGGGAGCCAGGAGCAACTATTCTACTCCTGAGTCCTGCTGGCAAAGCCAAAACTCTCTGGGAGGAAGAAAGAAAAGCAGAACCCAGAGTATCCCTGCAGTTTGGGTCTGGTGCCACCGCAGCCTGACTCAGCTGCCTGCTGCCACCTCATGCTGCCAGGTCACCACCACCTCTCTGAGTCTCCTCCCCTCTGTGGGTCCCCAAGTCCACCTTCCACTCTGACATAGAGTGGTCTTTCTATGCCACTAATCTGATGATCCCAGTCCCCAGCTTATGATTCTGCAGTGGAGGTGCTTGCAGTAAAATCCACCCTGAACCTGCCACTCAAGCCCTTTCATGGTTAGATGTCAAAGGACTCATTTCTGGCTTTCTTTTTTTTTTTTTTTTTTAACATGCCCTCATGTCCTCCAGCCACATGGACTTATTTTCCACTCCCATGCAGATGGCAGCTCTTTCCCACCTTGCTCTTGCTCCAGAGGCCCCTAGAAGTACCTTCTGTTGGTCAACTCTTGCTCATCCCATGCTCCAGCCCAGTTAAAATAGCATCTTTGACCTAGTGTCTGCTGCATGGAAATCAGACCTCCCACACCTTCCACCTGTTCACTGCCCGCCTCTTAGACAGTTTGCCTTATAATGCAGATATCTATGAACGTGTCTCTTCTTCTCTGGGACAAGAGGAGGTCATTGAAGGCAGGGACCATGGTGACTGATTCATTTCCTAATCCCTAGCGTAGGCCCTACTCAGAGGAGGGTACAGTAGCACCTGTTAGGTGCATGAGTATTGGGCATGTGGTTCACAGGCACACAAACACACTTGTTCTCAGATATAGTCAGGTATAGAGCTGGATCTCAGCCACAATAATTCTGTATAACAAACCTTCCATATCTTAGTGGCCTACAGCCTCTACTTTCTTGCTTGTGAGCCTGTGGGTTGGCTGGACCCTGCAGGTTTAAGGTGGGCTGGGCTCCAGGCTATAGGTTGGCTCCAAGTATATTCCATGTGCCCTCAACCAGGGATTCAGGCTGAAGGGGCAGCACCATCTGAAATAAGTTCCTTTCATGGCAATCTAGCATGAGTGACAGGCCAAACCTGCAAGTCCACCTGAACCCTCTGCTCACAACACAGCCAAGAGTTTCCACTGGTCCAAGCAAGTCTCACAGCCAAACCTCCATCAATGGGACAGGCAGGGGTGCCCCACGTACTCTGGTGAGAAGGACTATAAACACACAGTCCCCTGTCACAGAGAGCAAGTGAAGAACTATGGGCATATTCCGAGTCCAAATTTGCAGAATAAAAGCCACAAGCCTTTATATCTATCTGGGGATCTGTTGTGCTCATGGACACACAGATTGGTCCCCATCCTCTGATGCAATGTGTGGCCACGTGCTTGCAACCTAATCTCTCTAGCCTTCAGTTTTCTCCTCAGAAAAATGGGGCCAATAATACTGCTTGGCTCAGAGGATCATGTGAGCTTAACAGGCTTAGCACATGGAGAATGCTCAAGTGCCAAATGATTTGTGGTTTATATTGAGCACCCCCCAAAATAGCGCTAGAATACTGGATGGCCGAGATGGAACAGGTGGAGGGGCAGGGAGAAAAAGTGTCCTTTGGAGTAGTGAGGACCCCAAAGCCCTGTGAGTTGGATTTCACAATAGTGGGGCTCCCACTGTTGGAGACTTTGCTGGGGGCAGTTTGGGGTGGGGCATAAGCAGGATGAAATGGGATTGATGGGAAGTGTAGAACATGAGTGCAGCCAAGTCTTCCAAGAAGACAGGCTAGAAAGGAGGAAGAAGAGAGAAAGGGTTGCCGGGTGGGGTCTGAGGTTAAAAAGTGGTTTCCTAAAACTGGAGCCTTCAGTGTATATAAAATCCCGGTAGAAAAAAAATCCAGTAGGCAAAAAAAAGTTAAGAGCCTGGGAAAGAAAAGACAATGGCTCCTATTTGGGGACAATGGGTGAGATCCAGCCAAGATCAGTTTAGGTCTTTCCCTTGGAAAGGAAAAAGGACAAGTTCTCCACGGTGACCAGAGAAGGGTTACCCAGCGGATCAGGAACCAAGAGGGATTTGTCCACTCATTCAATAGGAGCCACTGAGCACCCACTGTTAGGTAAACTCCAGCCACAAACAACATGGGCAAAGATCACCGCTTAGATTCTAGTCCTGGGAGAGACCATACACAAAATAAGAAAATTGTATAGTTGGTTGGGAGTTGAGATGTGTGGCGAGTGAAACTTCAGGGCACCATCAACAGGATGGCTGGTGCAGGATCTCTGAGAAGGTGGCGAAGGAGCCAGCCCTGCATGCAAGTGTCCCCGGGAAGAGCATCTTCTAGCCGAAGTGAGAGTAGTGCAAGGGGCCTGGTGTGGGCTACGGCCCAGGGTGCTGGGGAACACCAAGGAGGTCAGAGCCAAGCAAATCAAGGGGCAGTAGAGGTGCAAGGACACAGGGGCCACTGGGGGCCACAGTAGGTAAGACTCTTCAGCTTTATTTCCCTGTGAAAAGAGGAGCCCATGGGATTTGAGCAGAGAATGGCAATGTCTGACTTGTGCTTCTGCAGGGACACTCTGGCTGCTGGGAAAGGCTGAGGGGGTGGGGCTTGGCAGGGGGAGCTGGGAGCCCAGGTTGACCTGTTTCTGTCATCCAGGCCAGAGGTGATGAGGCAGGGACCGGGTGGTGGAGAGCAGGGCTGCATCCCTGATGGATTTTAAAGGGACAGCCACCACGACTGGCTGATGGCTTGAGTGAAGGATGAGAGGAAGAGAGAAGTCGGGGTAGCTACCTGACCACCGGGGGGCTGATGCTGCCACCTGCCAAGATGGCGACGGCTGTGGGTGCGGCAGGTTGGTGGCCCGAGTGAAGCATTCAGTTTGGAGAGGTTGAGTTTGATGCGCATGTTAAACGTCCGCGTGGAAGTGCCGAGTAAGCGCAGTATGTGTGTCAAGATTCAGGGAGACACCCAGGCTGGAGAGTAAGCCTGGGAGCCACTGTTGTCTAGGGTTATTTAAAACCATGAGATCTGCAGAGACATGAGGGTAGACAACGAGGTTGAGAGCCTGAGCCCTGTGGCCCTTCACATTCTGACACCAAGGAGAGAAGGTGGGACCAGCAAAGGAGACCAGAAAGGAGATACCGGGGGCTGAGAGGAGGGCTGTGTCTGAAGGGGAGCTTGATGGGCTGGGTCAGATGCTGCCCGTGTGTCAATGAGAAGTGAGACGTCACCCCTGGGTTTAGCAATAGGCTGGGCCTTGTGATTTGGACACCAGCAGCCAGAGGCTGGTGAGCTTGAGGTGGACCCTCTGAACATGTTGGGATCCTCCCTACCATGAAATGGGATGAGGAATATGTCCGTGCCCTGCACACAGGAGGTGTGCCCGAAATGCTGTGCATCTGCTGGGCAGAGGGATGGGCTCCAGCAAAGGCAGAGCCGCTCTCAGAGGTGGGTCTCAGAGCCCCTGTGTAGACGGAGGCCTGCACCCTTCCAGAATCCCGCCCAGACCCCTGAGGACCGGGTGCCCTTCTAGAGTCACCATGCCACCATCTCTCTAGAGCCTGTTCTCTCAGCAGATGAGCCCATCTCCCCCAAGAAGCCGAAGAGTGTCCCTGAGCCAGAGCCCGGTGATACGGAAGGTGGAGCCACCTCTCCCCTGCCCTCCGAGTGGACCTCTGTGAGGATCAGCCCTGGGGAGGACGGGGTTGGGCAGGACGTGTTGGCCGTGCGTGTCCTGGTCACCAGCGAGGACAGCAGGTATGTCCAGGCAGCTCCAGGATGGGGGCCACACCGGGGTTGGAGGAGGAGCAACATTTGGGATCTGGCCTCTCCTCTCACTTGCAGAAGGACGTCTCTGGGCGTCAGTTTCCTCATCAGTCAAATGGGGACAATCGTAGCGCCTGTCTCAGAAGGAGCTGTAAGGATCAAAACATTAGCATGTGGAAGTGTGTGGAACAAGGCTCAGGGTGTGATAAACCCTGAAAATGTCAGCAATTATTTTCTCGGGGAAGGGAAAGGCCCTGGCATCACTGTTATCTCCCGGGAGGTGACTGTCACATGGTCTGCAGCAAGGGCTGCAGATGGGCATTACCTGTCACAGGGAGGGGCTCCTAGGGCCCTCCCACCCTGAGAGCACAGTGCATGGTGATGGGGAAGCCAGCAGGGGAAATGGAGCCTGGTGACTCCGTGACTGTTTCTGAGGGCGTCATCTCACCTCCTGCATCAGATCCCCACCCAGAGTGGTGATGAGAAGGGCAGACTCCAGGCCTGGCCCCCAGACACACCCCCAGACACGCCCACATCATTCAGGAGCTCAAACAACAAGAAGTACCTGTCATCTACTAGACCGAGCACAGGGCAGTGACCAATTCGACGCAAACTCCTTGCTCTCACCTCCTTTCTTCAGGTTGGGCAGCCAGCCAGCAAACAAGGAAGCATTCACGGGAAAAATAAAACATGCACCAGGTAGAAAAGCAAAGTAGGGGCACATGGTAGAGAGCCACGAGTCAGCTCTTAGATTGGGCGGCCAGATAAGGCCTCTGTGTCCTTACTGACTGCCAAAATCATGCTTGGTAACAAGCCAGCACCGAGTGAGTGACTTAACCCCGTTGATTACATCCTCGACTGCAGGGGCCAGCAGCTCAGCAGGCCCGGGGGGCAGCCCTGGCCTTGGTGGTCTGGCCCAGCAGAGTTCTTCTGCAGTAGAGTTGGCTGTCAGCTGTGGTGACAGAAAGTCACTGTGTCCTGCGTCTTCATCCTCCATCCAACAAGTGAGGCTAGCTCAAGAGGAGAGCAGCACAAGGTTTCTGGAGACCCAGGTTTGGCCCAGTACTGTTCCCATGGCATCTGATTGGCTACCGCAAGTCACATGGTCATCCCAGATGCAAGGAGCCAGGAAGTAGGTTCCACCCTTTATGAGAAGAGCTGTGAAGTCCTATGGCAGAGGAGTGTGGCTCCAAAGAGAAGGATGGCAGCCATTTTTGCAGAGCACCTACCATGGCCCGCCTGAGGAGGTGACATTGAAGCTGAGAAGGGGTTACCAGGAAGGAACGGTCAAGGAAGAAGAAGGCAGTCCAGCCATGACGACAGCTAGTGCAGGGCCCTGGGTGGGAGTGAGCCTGTTGGAGGAGAGGTCTCGGAAGGAAGGCAGGAGTGGGGCCCAGGGAGCCTGGGAAGGGCTTGTATTCTAAGCCAGAGATCATTGAAAGAGAATGTTCAAGTTGAAGAGTGACATCTCAGTCACAAGTCTTGAAAATCGGCAGGCCCTGGTGCAGGGAGAGGATGGGTCTGGTGGAGCAGAGCAAGGGCAGGGAGATCAGGCAGGGAGATCAGGGACTGTGGAACAGCGGGGATGGGTTTGCTGATTGAAGAGTTCAAGGGCAACTCCCAGGTTTTGACTCCATCACTGAACGGGTAGTATGATCATTTCCTGAGGGGAGAAGGATTTCAGGGGATATAGGTCATGGGGAAAACCAAGAGTTCAATCCTGGACCCCTAGGGTTTGAGTTGCCCACATCTTTGTGCAGACATCAAGTTAGCAGTCCAACATGCAAGTCTGACATCGGAACTTTCAGGGAAACAGGACTGAAGATGGTGAGTTCAGAACCCACTAAACCAAAGGACTTGAGGGGTCCTGAAGGGAGTAAGATGATCCTCCTGTTGATAAAGGGGAGCTGGGCCTGGAATAGAGCCCCAGGGCATTTGCACATTCAGAAAGCAAGCAGGGAAAGAGCGAGCAAAGCCCACTGGAGAGGAGGAAAACCCAGATGGGGGAGTTAAGGAGTGCGAGAGGAGAGAGTGTTTCAAAAAGGGATCTGAGGACAAGGGTGGCTCAGTGGCAGAGCACGGGCCCTGAAGGACGACGAGGTTTGCTACCTTGGGAAGCTGTGGAGTCCAGTCAACAGCATAAACAGAGAAGGGAGTTTGGGGCTTTCCAACAGGAGAGTCCTCATTAACGTCCACGACGTGGTCTCCATGGAGTCAGTGGGCAGAGGCCTAATTGAAGAACGTGTGGGGACAACAGGAAGGAAAAAATGGAGGCAATGGTCACGGACATCTAACTTATTAAGTCTTGATCATTTAGACCCTGGAAAGGGGCCTGGGAACCACGCTTCAGCAAGCGTCACAGGTGCTTCTGATGTGCACATCTGCGTGAGAACCACTCCCCGAGAGTGCCCTTAGTAGTCACTAAGATAGAAAATCAGGGCCCAGAGGAGGGAAGGCGCCTACCCAAGCAAGGTCACACAGCCTTCTAGTCCTCTAGGCTCACTTAGATCCACCCCCTTGGTAAGAGGCAGACACCCAGTTCAAGGCAGCTTTGGTAACAAAGGCAGACGTCTTGGCTGGTGGGGGCCAGGAAGTCCAAGGGTGGTCCTCATTTCAGGCCACCTTGAGGAGGTGATGTTGAAGCCAGAGACTCACAAGCAGCTGTCCCTTGCTGCCTCTGCACAGGTCAGCCCTGCAGCAATCCACAGAGAGGCTGTCCCCACCTGTGCAGCCCTCACTACAGAGGGCTTCAGCCCATATCCATAATAATGTCACAGAACGGAGCCAGGGAAGCTTGGTGTTACCCAGGTCATATACCCACCTCTGGGGCTGACCAGTGCACAGGATGGGGTGCCAGGCCTGAGCAGGCCTGGGCATTAGGAAGGGTCCACTAGGCACATAGGTAGACAAGGGGCAGTGACCTAGTGGAAGAACCATGCTGGGTGGATGGACGATAGATAGATTCATAGAGATCCATAGATAGAGAGGAAGGATATTTAGCTTCACTAAAATGTCTCATGCCCTCTCCACCTCTGCCCACAACACTCTGCCTCCACTTCTCTGCCACTTAAACTCCTGCCACGTTAAACACCACGTCCCCAAATGCCAGAAAGGCTTTTCTACTCCCCACCACCACCCCATTCTGGGGGAAGGAAAGCAGCACCTCAGGGCCTAAAGTTTTAGGATCAAGTTCCTGTAGACTAGCTCAGGAGCTGTGCTCAGGGCTGGGAGACGGTGAGACACCCCCTACTTTATGTGAGTTGTTGGTCAGACATTTGCTTGGGAGCTTTCTCTTGCTCTGATCCAAGCTTATATCCGTCAACTTTGTGTCACAAAGTACCACAGCCCAGGTGACTTAAGCAATAGGAACTTCCCTTCTCACAGTTCTGGGGGATGGAGGTCTGAGATCAAGGCGCTGGCAGGGTTGGCTCTAGCTAGGGCTGGAGGGACGCATCTGCTCCAGGCCTCTCTCTCCTGGGCTTGTAGATGGCCGTCTCCTGATCACACGGTGGCGTTTTCCTACTGCGCACACGTTCTATGCCCAAATTCCCTGTTCTTATGAGGCCACCAGTCATATAGGATGGGGGTCTACCTAATAACCCCATTTTAATTTAGTTTACCTCTTTGATGACCCTGTCTCTAAATGCAGTCACATTCTGAGGTTCTGGAGGTTAAGAATTCAACAGAGGAATTGGGGGTTTCAGACCTCAGACTATGGTGCAGTCCAAGGCTGGGGACTGGGCACAGGTGAACTGAACCCCTGACTGATTCCAAGGTCTGCAGGAGGCAGGGATGGGAAGGGCGCCGTGTGGGTGTGTGCAGCGGGTGGGTTCCAAGGCTTCCAGCTCACCCACTCCCTCCTTCCTCCTTCCAGCTCCGATGCAGAATCTGACTATGGCAGCAGCGAGGCCTCCAGGGCGAAGCCCTGTGAAGCGAGAGCCTGGCAGCCAGAATCCCCGCCTCTACCGAAGCCCCTCACCCGGCACATCTCCTTGAGGGAGCCTCTGACCAGGGCAGACTCTCCACAGTGCCTGGAGGAGCTGCAAGCTGCACATGGTGAGCAGAGGGTGCACCGTGCTTCATTCTGGAACCCTGGGAGGGAGCAGGGACCCTCACGGCCTGCCTTTCCTCCTGGAGGCCAGGGGACAGTAGCACTCTCAGGGTGGGAGCTTTGAGGAGGGAGGTTCAAGTGAGGCTGGGGGCTCTGCACCAGGGCTAGCATGCTTCTCCAGCTCTGAAGTCCCAAGTGGGAAAACATCAGAGGGGCCTGGTCCCCTGTTGGATGTCACCGGCTGGCAGAGATAAGGGGGACCCAGTTCCCTCTTACCTGGAACAGCTTCTCCACTGTGACCTGTGTGGATATTGCCTCAGAGGTTCCTCCAACAACCTTTAACCCCTAAAGGAAAGGACGTGGGATCTGCTGCTGCGGGACACCATGCAGCCCTGGGCAGCACAGGGGCCATTCCTGGGGGCATGGGGCTCATGAAATTCACCCAAACTGTGCCTACACAATAATAATCTTGAGTGAGCACCTGGAATTTTCCTACCCATGGCCCCATTTTATCCTAGGTGGACCCTGTATGTAGGTAAATAATATAAATCCCAGTTTTCAGGTGAGAAAAAGACCATGAACTCTCCCCTGGTCTCCCCTCCAGAGGATTGAGAACAGGTGATGGGGGCCCACCCTCCACATTCTGGCCTACTTAGAACAAGTTGTCTTTAGCAACCCAGTTTGTTTTAATTCATAAAGGTGACCCAGAATTGAGTGTTTTGATTCAGTCAACATCAACCTGTGACCAAGTCATCTGACTTGCAGGAAGGAGAGCCAGGGAAGAAACAGGCCAACAAACTTGCCTCCTTCCTTTAGGACCAATAAACAGCCTTTTCTGCTGGACACCAAACTTGTCCTGCACCGCCCTCTGGTGGTCAAGAGTAAAATTTCCACCTGGTCCTCAGAAGCCCTGGTTTCCCAGGAAGAAGGATTGGAGCCAAAGAGAATAGATGCAGATATTTTTAACTTTGAACTTCCCCTTCCATGTGGATCTCTTTTTTTTTTTTTTAAGAAAAATGGATGTTGTCACCAAAATACATTTTTAAAGTGCCATTTGTAGTATGAAAAGCTGAGCACAGGCATTGAACTGAGTACTGTCCTGTACCCAGAGCGTCCTGCCTTGCCTCTGGTTACCGCTAACTCCCCACCCCTTCCGTCTCCCTGAGCTCCAGCCTCCCACTTGCAGATCCAGAGCCTGCCTGTCTTTCATTTTTTTTTCCTTTCGTTTCTCCTCTCTCCTAAACTGTCATGGGATTTTAGGCCACTTATGAGAAAGACGTAATACGAAGTTATGACTCTACACATGACAAACGAAGCCTCAGAGTCGAGCATAACAAAGCCAATTTAGGAAGTAAAATGTTCCAGAGAGAGAGAACATAGTTCTAAACAGACAGTATTAAAAAGGGAACCACACAATTGTTCTCCTTGTCCAAGAGAAAAATATATACTGGTTTACATAGTTATCAAGAGTAGATGCAACTTTTCTTAATGCTGAACTCTATAGAAAGTTTCTGCTCATGTCAAATAGATGATATCAAGAACTGTTTTAGCTCATATCTTAATGAGTCCTCAGAAAATTTAGCCATAGTTTTCTTAAGGTTGTTTCTCATAGTGCCCCCTGCTGGCAGGCTAGGGTAAGACAGCGAGTCATGGACTTGGGTTTAAGAGACTAAGGTAGTTGGCCAAAGCATTTTGTTTCTGACAGTCTAACTTAACTCTAGAATAAAATACCAAGAACATAGAGGGGTGGATAGAGGAATGTTAGACAATCCTTTGTTGACTTCGTTTTCATCAATTATGGTTTCGATCACTGATAGGCCGGACTCAATGGTTAAGGTTAGCATCTCTAACGTTACTCTCAATGCTGAGATAAGAAGCTCAACACTTTCCCAGATAATGCAGGGTTGACATCATGAGTGGATGTTATTGAACTCACCTGGATTCTCCCCTGGATAAATGCCTTTAAGGCGGATTCAGAGAAGACCAGACAAGACCAGGATATTGCTTTTGAAAGATTCCTGGTGTGTGCACTCATACTCAAAGCCAAAGGGGAGAAACAAACCAAGAGCCATCTCCAGATGAATGGATAAACAAAACACAGCACATCCATTCAAAGCGATGTTATTCAACCTGAAAAGGGAACAAAAATCTGATATATAGTACAGTATGGATAAACCCTGAGGACATACACTAAGTGCAGTAAGCCAGTCATAAAAAAGGGTTTGTTTGGGGTGAGAGAAAAGTTTTGGAAATGGATAGTGGTGATGGTTGTTTGGAATGTAGATGTACTTAATGCCACTGAATTATATGCTATCAATTTTTTTTTAACTAAACAGCAAAACAGCTAGGAAGAGCTTTGGGATTGATGAACAAATAGAGGTCCTGGGAGAGTGGTGGGCCTGAGGGGGCATGTAAGCCTCATACCCCTTCCCCATCCCTTTGTTGAAGTATCACTTCCATTTGGTTGTTCCTGAGTTGTACAACACATTAGTAAACGTTTAAGAAATGGTATTTTTTATGTTATGTACATTTTGCCGCCACTTAACAAGAGATTTCCAGGATCACCTCAGCTAGTCAAGGAAGCGCTCATACCCACCAAGTTCTTTTACAGAGCCTGCCCAAGGAGATGGCGTGAAATACAACTTACATACACCCTGTGTTATGAAAACCATAGAAAACATTCCCCTAAGACATCTGTGGTATTAATCTGATTTCCATTGCTGTGACAAAATACCTGAGATAAACAACTTATAAAGAGAAAAGATTGATTTTGGCTCATGGTTTCTGAGGTGACTTGTTGCTTGGCCCTGTTGCTTTTGGTCCCGTGGTAAGGCAGAACATCATGGCGAGAACACATGGCAGAGGAAAATGCTCACCTAGTGGCAACTGGGAAGCAAAATGAAAAAGAGGAAGAAGCCTCAGTCCCAATATCTCCTTCGAGGGCACACTCCCCAGTAACCTGACCTCCTTCCATTAGGCACCATCTCCTAAACATTCCACCACCTCCCAATAGCACCACAGCCTGGGGACCAAGCCTTAAGCATATTGGACTTGGGGGGGCCATTTAAAATCCAAACTATAATAATTTAGTCCGGTGATTCATATACATTTTGTCTAGAAGGCATATATCTGGATCTTCACCATCAGAAAATCAAATTCCATGGGTCTAAAATGGGACAGTATCTGCATTTGGTGTAAGCAACCCAGGTACATGGATGCAGGTGGGCCTGACCCAGACTTTGGGAATCACAGAAAAGCGGCTTCCGGGGAGTCCACCTGGATAAATTAATTGGGAAATGCGTGCCCAAGCAACTCAACGGATGGATCTAGTGCATTGGATTTTTGGACAGAAACCAAGTTGATTTAGGAGGGCAATCTGCCCCCAAATTATTTTGGCAGAGGAAAATTGGTATTTATCCATTTTTTTCCCCTGGCAATAATTTGATATCAGGATGGTCCAATGGCATATGGAGGACACCACTAGTTTGTAACAATAAAATGAGATCATCAGCACCATATGGCAAAATTCTCACCCTCTTACTCCTTTTGCAGATCATACACTGAAATCCCCCACATTAAAGTGCTCCTCTAAAATAAGGACTATAGGCAAACATTAAACACACATAGAACATAAGCTAAAAAGAAGAGAACCAGCCATTCTTTATGCTGCTGAGAGCTACTAGAACTAATCATTGCCATCCACACTCATTGTTTCCATTGTGGTAAAAAATATGTGCATGTGTGTCTCATAAATAGTCGTGTTGGGAAATCTCTCATTAATCTTATCCCTTTCCTTTTTTATTATTTTTTTCCTTTTTAGTATTCAGTGCTAGGGATTGAACTCAAGACAATTGCTAGACAATTGCTCTACCACTGAGCGACATCCCCTGATTTTAGTCATCTCCAGTAGGTTCCATTCCACAATGTTAACAGTGGAAGAGAAGCAGTCAGAGCTTTCAGTGGTGGCTGGGAAGGTCCCCCAACAGCTCATGTGTTGAAGGAATTGCAGCAAGGTGCACAAGTGGGGCTTTAGGTAATGATGGGATCGTGATGGTTTTAACCTCATTGGTGGATTAATCCACTTGAAGACTTAATAATCCGAATGGACTGCTAGATAGGAACTGGAAGCAGATGGGGTATGTTTGGAGGAGGTAAGTCACAGGGGGTGTGCCCTTGACCTCTTTCTCTCTTTCCTGGTTGCCATGAACTGAGCAGCTTTCTTCACCGTGCCCTTCCGCCATTATGTTGCTGCTTTGCCGCCAGTTGATTATGGACTGAAACATTTGAAATCATGAGCCAAAATAAATCTCTCCTCCAAGCTGTTCTTGACAGGAAGTTTGGTCATATCAATGAAGGGCTAACCTAAGAAGTCTTATATTTTTCTTGGGTGGTCTCTTGGTTAGGGGTCTGCGGGATGCAACTGTGCTGAACTTGCTTGCTCCTCATGTAAAACATCCAATCTGGCAAACAAAAGTGGCTGCACTTTGAGTACCATCTGGTAATGGGGTGTGGGGGTTATTCACCATCCATCCACACTGGCTCCACCTCAGATCCATGGACTTGATTTTGAGGGCAAGCCCGTGGGATTGGAATCCTACTAGAGAGAGGAGACACAAAGCATTTCCAAATGGGGAAAGGGAGGGAGAGGAGCCAAGGGTCTAAGGAGCCCAAGGAACTTGACCTGAGAAAAGGAAGCCCCAAGGTAGTGGCTCACACCTGTGTTCCACAGCCTGGCTAGTAGGAAAGCACTGAGGTACAACCTGTAACTGGCAGGGAATAGAATGTCTAAGACTGGAGAGATGATGCCTGTCCATCAGCACCTGAGCAGCGATGGGCTCCAAGCTTGTTGGAACATGAATAAGGAAACTGAGGCCCACAGGTGTTATATGATTTGATTCTGTGCATGGGAGTTGTCAGTTTTTTGACTCCAGGCAATTGTGGGCAAAGCACACACATGCCCACACGCTGGCTGGGCCTTGGATCCGGGAAGGTCTATATTCAAACTTTCCCTGCCGCCGCCATCTTCCCATCCCCAAATCCTTTCCACCCCCTTCCTTTCCTCTCATGCCCACGGACCAGCTTTGTGAGTCTCTGGATGGGCATGGAGCCCATTCTTTCTCTTTGGCTGTGATGGAAATACCTGAGACGGAATCTGGGGGGTCCTCTGTGGGAACTGGGTCCACTTAGATCCCTTCTGCCCACTTTCATGCCCCAAATGTTCCAAGACCCCTTTCCTTCTGAATTCAGTGTTCATTTTTCTCAGCTGGTTCTCAAGGCCCAGCTAGGCAGTGGGTGTCCAGTGGGAAGGACACCGTGTACCGCAGACGTGTTTCCATGGGAACCATGCCACAAGAAGGGGGTCAAGGGGTCACAGCCATGGCTTGCCCAGAGGTTCTGTTAAAACTGGTTTCCTGGATCTGGGGGGCTCGGGGAGGAAAGGGAAGGCAGGGGCTAGAACTTTCTGCAGCTTCCTGGTTCCAGGGGAGCTCCAGGGTCCTCTTACATCTACGGAACATTGACCCGAGGCCTCAGCTGTAAAGGCCGGCTCTGATAGAAATGAATGAATGTAGGCGTGCTCATCCACACACGGGGAGGCATGTTTTCGTGTATGTGTTTCTACACATGCATGAAGGAGGGCCTATTAACCATCAGTGACACAGAATGATGGCTCATCCTTGGAGGCCTGCTCTGACAGGGGGCAGTGCCTGCCCTGAAGCCAGTTCTCAATGAATATTTAATGAGTGGATGAATGACAAATGGGCTGTGGGGGCAGGGAAGTGTGGTGTGGGGAAAGGAAAGTTCCCGTCAGTTAGAGCCACCTGTCTGCTAATTTGGGGTCAATGGGCTAGAGGAATATCACCTCTACACATCTGATGGACTCTTGCTCTCTTTTTCTTTCTCACCACAGCTTTGCAACGGGCCAATAGCTTCCAGGCTCCAACTCCAAGCAAACACCAGAACTGGAGAAGAAGATTCCAGTCCAGTGAGTCATATCGAAAGCTCTCTGTGGGTTGAGTGGGCTGGACTGGGCTGGGCAGGAGCTGATTCCCAGGCAGCAGCTCTCTCATTCCTTACATGGTGCCTGTCTTCTGTGCCGCGGCCTCCAGGATGTGAGGGGCAAAAAAACAACATGCAGTTGACCTGATTTCCACTGTGATCTAAAGGAAGAATTCTCCAAGGGATTCGGGACTGGCCCCTACTCTAGAATCATGGAGACTTGAGATTCCAGAATTTTACCCAAAAGTAGCCTTAGCCGTGATAGACTCCAAGCTTTTTGGAACATGAATAAGGAAACCGAGGCCCATGGATGTTATATGATTTGATTCTGTGCATGGGAGTTGTCAGCATTTTGACTCCAGGCAATTGTGGGCAGAGCAAGAAAGGAAGCAACACACACACACACACACACACACACACACACACACAGTCCTACTCCTTTTTCTGTGCATCTTGGTCCCAGAGAAGAGCAGAGTTGGATGAAGGCGAGGGACCCCAGCAGGGGGCGCAGTGGCCACACACACAGTTGCATCCCAAGCTGGCCCACAATCCCAGCCACAGCAGGGACAAAGCAGGAACTCCCTTCAGAGGCCCTCAGCAAGAGGCTGGGACTCATCCATTCCATTGCTGCCTTCCTCTCCCCCTGTACCACATTCCCTCTCCAGGCTCGCCCAGGAGAGGAGGTGCAGGAAGGCCTTGGGTCTGGCAGGGTTATGAAGCATCGTACTTGGAAGGAAGCCCTAGCTCCTTCCTTCTGAGTCAATACTGACTCCTAGCCAGTGAGTCACTCTCCAGCAACCCCAAGACCCACCAGCCCTCACTGGGTCAGGCTGGGACAGGGGCCACCTTTGGAGCTAGACCAGGACTACACATTTGTGCAAGCTGCTTCATCTGGGGACAATCTAAAATGATGCTTGAATTACTGACAGTGCCCAAGGCAGTGAGAGCAAGAGGGTGGAGGGAATTAAAGCCTTCCACATGTCCTCCTCTCATTCCTGGCCCCAACCCCTCGCAGGGCACTGGGATCCCTCTCTTGGGCAGGTCTTCATGGGTGTAGAGTCCATTCCAATGCTTCTGAGTGCCACCACTAAGAGGGGCTCAGTTGTGCCCTCAGGGAGTTCCCAGCCTGGGTGAGAGCCAGGGGACTCCTGGAGGCACTCACAACAGTGTCAAGGTGCTGGAGGAGGCACAGGACAGAGAAAGGACTGATACACAGCAGCGAGGTGCCTGGCATGGACCTGGAGACTCGGTCTTCAGTAACTGAAGAGTATCAAGTGCTGGTTTTCATGTACAGAAAAGCTGGTTTGAGGGAAGCACTTGAGTTGGAATTATGAGGTGGGCGAATATATATTATATGGTCTGACCCAGAGGAGGTACCTGTTCCTTGTTTTCTCAGTGAATGGATTTTTTTTGCATGTGAAAGACTCTGGGGATAGAATCCAGGGCCTTGCACATGCTAGATAAGCACCCCACCACTGAGCCATGCCCTCAGCCCTGCTGAATGAATGAATGAACCATGGAGCTGGTGAGACTCAGTGCAAAGCACAGGGCTTCAGGTTTTCGGGCTGCAGCCCCTAGAGGGCGCTCCCAGACTTTGAGAGGAATTTGAGGCATTCATAGCCTCCAAATTCTCGGAAGCTGCACCCTGAAATCTCAGTCCTCACAAAAAAAATCCCAAGCTGAAAGCCACTAGAGCCATCTTTTTGGTAGTAGGAAAGGAACATAGGACAGTCTCCCCAGAAGAGCATCATGCCAGAATGTCCTCTAGGATTCAGAACAAAAGGTCACTCTGGTCAGAGGGCTCAAGAGGAGGTAACGTGGCTTTGGATGTCAGAAGCTGTGATTCAGGCTCTGGCTTGCTCAACGACTCCTTTTGCACAAAGGAACCCTAAGGGGCAGTAGCACCCAGGACCAAGAATCTTGCAGAGGACAAAGAAGCCAAGATTCCAGGAAAGAACCAGAGAGGAGGGTCTGAATTGGCAAATGAGGAAACGTGAAGAGTGGAGAAATCGTGGCTGGGATGGGTGCATGGCTCCCTCTGGAACGGGCCAGGGCTTCAGCCATGTCTTTACTAGACACCGTCTGAGGCATGAGAGGAGGGGACGGGGATGGAACTCATATGTAGCTAACATGAAGCATTTGTGTCCTGTACTGCTGGGCACTTTTTTGTGTCCCATTTATTCCCTCAACCATCCCCTGAAGCAGTGCTAGACCTGAGGAAGCTGAGGGTCTGGTAACCTGCTCAGTGTCCAGCAGCTGCTATGAGTGTGAAGGGGTGAGGTCCCAGACTCCTCTTGACCATGTTCTGAGTGAACTCCAAGGCACAACCAGCCTCCAGCAGGTGACATTTCCCATCGTCACTCAGCTTGGCTCTGGCTCCACTTGCCCCTTCCCAGACCGTGTCCCTCCCAGGCTGTGGCTTGAATGGCAGCCCAGGGACCAGGGCTTGGCCTACTCGGGAGCCCTGCTCCCCAACTCCTCAAGCCCTCCCCATGCTCTGTCTCTAAGACAGGGTGTGAGGACCATGAATGGAGAGAGACCCCACTGGCCAGGTGGGCTGGGAATTAGAGAAAGGAGGGGGGAGCAGCTTCCAGGTCACGACCTTGTGAACCCCAAGGCTTTTCCGCTGGGCTCATGTCCCCAGGTGTCCCTGACTGTGTGTCATAACGTCCCCTGAGACTCCATGGAGGAACAAAAAGGCAGCGTGTGGAGCCAAGACAACTTTTGAAACAAATTAAGGAGTTGGATTCAGAAGATGGCAGGGAGAGGAGAATGAGGGGGCGAGGGAGAGGGGGAGAAGGAATTTGGCAGGAATTTGGCAAGCTGAGGACAGGAAGCAAGGCAACAACTGACTCACGACTTTTGCCTTTTTAGGCTCGAACCGTCTCGTTGTGGGCTGAGGTGGGGGTGCCGGTGAAGGGAGGCAGGCCAGCCGTCTCCCCTGCACCAGCTCCTGGCAGCCCGTGGCCTGTCTCCCAACAGCTCCTTCTTGCCCACCCTCACATCAGCTCTCTCCCCTGGGGTTACCTGTTCCCTTGGAAGCTTTTTGGAAGCCTCCCCTTTGGGGGCTTGTCAACCATGTGTGTGGGGTAGCCATCTTTTCAGAACCCAAATCTGGGATACGCCATCTGACATGCTTGCGTTCGTGTGTGAGAAAGAAGGGCAGAACACTGAACGTCCAGCCCCGTGGCCACTTCCGCTGTAACAATGGGACTGGCTGGAACTCTTGGGGATGGTTAGGTATGTGTGGGTCCCTGAGGAGGAGCTTCTCATCCAGAGCTTTGAGGAAACTGGGCCTTGTATTGAGCTAAGAAGGGAGCTAAAATCCAAAGCCTGGACACCTCAGAGGGAAATCTCAATGGGTCATCTGAGCAGCCATAAGCAGGCAGCGAGACACGGGGGTGACCAGTAGGCAGCAGTCCTGGAGGGTGTCTGGGGGACACCCATATGTGCTCCCTCGGTTCATGGGAGAGCTGGGTGTGTAAGATCCCAGTACTGAGGGGCACATCGGCAGACTGCGTGGCATTCAGAAACGATTTGAGTGCAGCTTGTCTGAAATAGTTCAATACGGAGATAAAATACTTGAGATTTCAGATTTAAGACTACTATCCTCAAGGGGGAAGCGGGGGAGAGAAGCACATGTGAGCGTGCAAGAACTTGTAGGCCACAACTGTCACAATCTGCTCTCCTGAGACCAGATGATGTCAGCTGTCCACAGTGGGAATTAAGCTCCTCCCTGGGCCCAGCCATGCTCCTTTCTCACGCATCTCTGAGCAGATACACTGCTTTCCTGTTTGTTGCCTGACCAACAGAAGCTTGGCAGAGATCTCACTCTGTGTGCTTCAGATGATCTGATATGGCTGTAAACTCCCTCCCTTGTGTTCCCTTGATGGCGCAGCCTGGCCACCTGTCGGAGAGCCCCTTGGGTGCTCGTGAGAGGAAGAGCCATTTCATTAGTCGTGAACGTCTACCCTGTGTGTGCCACGGCTAATGCTTCAGCACCTCGTGGGCAGAAACCTCAGATGGTTTATTGATGAATGACTTAATGTAGCCCCAGCTCTTAACCATCAGAGCTTTAGGGAAACTTAAGGGTAGATGTCTATTTCCAATCAGCACTCTGAAAAGTCTGGGTCACCTGCCTCGGGAACAACCTCAGGAGTTTGAAACACGGTGGTCCTTTAACTTTTCATCTTGGGGTTCCCTTTGCCCCCCAGGGCTCCTCTGCCTTTCTGGGTCCCATTCCTCCAATTCCCAAGATGTGGCCACCAGGAACCTCTGAGTCAGTCTCCAACCTTTCCTCTTCTTGGCTCTGCCTGTAGAACAGGAGCCTCCCTGCAAGCCTTGTCTTTTTGCAAGCTCTTTCACAACAGCTCTGTAACAGAGAATGTTCTTTCCTCGGTAGATTTGCTGCCAGTGAACAAAAGAACCCCGTCATCTCCAAAGGAGCCTTCTCCTCTTCCTCTTTCTTCCTGGTCTTCTCCTTCATCTTCCCCACCATCTTCTTCTTCTTCAGCCAGTGTCCCTGGGCATACCCCAGATGACTCCTCCCCATCTCAGGTGAGTACAGCCGAGGCCCCCCC